ATTCAAACAACAGCTCCTTTTAAATTCATATTTATTTCATTTCTTTTTTGCTCAGTATAGCAGAAACTGTTTTGTTTCAGTAAAAAGGATTGGTGTGACCTTTGGCCTGTGTGTGTTGATGGTGTTCACAACAGGAAATAAATTAAAGTATTTGTATCGTACCTGTTCACAAGCATCAACTTAAGAACTTCATTAAAGTAAATTCTCCTCATTGCATTTAGTTTAGAAACTAATTAACTAAATTTGTAGTTTTGTTTTATTTTTATGGGAGGCTTAAAAAAAATTAAAGCACGTGTTTAGTGATCTGATCAGGCATTGTTGACATTTTACAAACTTCCTCTGGAATGATCTCTCCTCTGCCGCTGTCATTATTTCAGACTTACAATGACATCTAGTGGCAGCTTCCTGACAGTTTGATTATTTATCTGCTTCTAAAAGAACTTCCATCTGAGTTTCTGTGGATGACAGGAAATTGACTGTATTTTGCTCCAGTGATTTTCAGGCTTATCTGTGCACAATATATTTACCGAAATACGACAGGCCTTAATGCAAACCACGTTTCCTGTCTGTCCCTCACAGTCAGGTTTTAAGTCTAAACTGCTACCTTGTTCTGGAAATACTGTTACTTTTTGTCTGATGGTTTGTCATCGACCAGGGCTTTTGTTAGAGGGCACATTCGTTCATGCTGAGGATTAAAATAAAGCTTGAATAGTTGATCAAAAGAATCTGAGAAAACAGTGTTTGCCAGTCAGCATAAGCTGTTTAAACTGATTTGAACTTTGTGCCAGTCACTACTTTCTATTGGATTTCTTCTTTAAATGTGAAAACATGCAGAACATCTTTCCCACTAATTACACTTCATCTTGCAAGCTCTTGCCATGTTTTATTGTTAGAATTTTCTTTTCTTTAATTCTTGTGTTTGTTTTATCAGTTTTTTTTTGGTAAAAAAATGAAATTAAGAATATGGGGCAGATATAAGATTTTTTCTTCTTCTGCTTCCTTTCATTTGATTAGATTTGTGTTTTTGTTTTTTGTTGAAATTCAAATTTGTTTTATTTTTTTATTGAAATGAATAAACTATTAAACTAATATGTTACAGTAACAGGCTATAAACGCTTAGCACAAAAATAATTATATTAGTGTTTGGTAGATAAGTTTTTGTTGTAACAATTCTCCTTGGCAATAAATCTTGTACTGTTGGAAAACATGTTAATTTATGTATTAAATGGTGTCACATTTGTAATGAACATGCATTTGTAGGATGAACAGGGTTACGCACATGAAAGATTTACCAAATCTTCTCTTCCAAACAGCTTATTCTGCTGTTGCTGTTGACACGTGTTTTGAGCTTATGGTTCCTGCAGGTGCCTGTTATTAGATTTATTGCCAAGAAACATTGGTACAACAAAAACACACTTCCTCATTTTTTTGTGTTAAGTATATTTAGGAAATTAATTAAAAATCCATCTTCACAGTATTGACATCACATCAGTTTATTCATATTTATCTTTAGTTAAATATTTTAAATATTTTATTTAAGCTGGTTGCATGGTGGCTCAATTGCTAGAGCTGCACTTCTCAGGTTGCTGGACTGAATCCCAGCTGGAACATTTCTGGATAGAATTTGGATGTTCTCTCTGTGCATGTGTGTGTTTTCTCCTTGTACTCTGGTTTCCTCCCACAGACAGAAAAAAAACATGAATGTAGTAACTTCAGTGTGAGTGAGAAAATGAATGGTTGTTTGTGTGTCATGGACCCCCCCCCCCCCCCACACACACACACACACACACATGCATGCACACACACACTGGGCATGGGCACCTGCGACACTGTAGGGAAGAAGATAAAGTAAGGATGATGTTTTACATCAAGGTTATGATAAATTAGTGATTAACCAAGATTAACTGTCATAATTATAACTCTTTTCTCAATCTATTGATTTATTTCACCTAAATGACTGCTATTAAGAATCAATACATTTCTTTTCTCAGCAACCTGAGGTCATGTCAGGTCCACCTGAGCTGATTCCTGGCAAAGACGATGCATGACTTGTCCATAAATGACCTGACACAAGACAATGGGCCTCATGCAAGAACATGTTCGTATTCTTATCCTAAATTTCTCTTACTTTTGTTCGTACAAAGGGTTCGTACGAACATGTCACGTCAGATTCAACAAACTCTTCTATCTTCAGGAAAAGTGTGTAAATGAGCTGCGTAAATTCCACCTGTTCGTATCCAGCTGCTCGTACATGCGAGAAGAGATTAGCATGATTACCACCCAAAAAAACACCATATAAGGCCATGTTTCCTGCCTCAGATATCAGGAAGTGTCCATTCAGGAAAATGACAGCGAAAACTAAAGAAGAAGAACATTACGAGTTCAGGGATTGAAGTCCGTCTGTCAGAGATCCAGAAAAGAAAATCTGTCATTTTTAGCAGGTCAGCCGTGGAATAAAAAGAGCTGCTAAAAGTATAAACAACTGTGTTAAATCATTTTCATTTATTCAGAAGACACACCGTCGCGCACCGTATGCCCCACCCCTGCGCGCAGTCGCAAGTGGTCTAGGTTGCGGTTCTGAAATAAGCTTTCAAAATATGTCTGGCACTTTGGAGAAAATCCAGGACTCGCTGGAGGGATTATGTATCCCCTCTGGCCTGTGAACGTCTCAGAGTCCCACAGGACGAGCTGGAAAGTGTCGCTGGGGAGAGGGATGTCTGGGTCTCTCTGCTGCTGCCCCCACGACCTGGTCCCGGATGAGCGGCAGAAAACGGAAGAACGGACAATTTATGTTGTTAGTCTAAATTATTACATTTAAAATTATAACTCTAATTCAAGCATAATAGCCTATTGTCAAGATAATCAGAGTGGGATTTATTTTCATCTAAAAATATCTTCAAACTAATGAATTATAAAGTTATTAGGGAGTAAAATCCATCTGGATAACAGCAGACTGACTCTTCGTAAAATATATGACAGGTCTGGACCACTCGTGAATTTTGTTCGTATCTGAAAAAAATCTTAGAATACGAAAACATTTGTGAATGCCACAAATTCTCCTAAATCACTCGTACGCACAACTTAAGAACAAATCTGTGCATACGAACAGTTCTTGCATGAGGCCCAATGTTTACTTTCAAGCAACATCTTGAAATGTCACATTTAAAGTGTTTGTTGTGACCGGTTTTCAGCTATGACCACATTAAAGTTGAGCTCAAAATCTGTCAAAACGGTTGAGTTATAGTCATATTGGGTGTTTTTAAGGTCAGTTGGCAGATATCTCAAATAGGTCTGTCTGCCTGACTCCAAAAGTTAATYAGTTGTAGATGACTCAACAAATGTGTAGTTGAAAGTGAAGCCTAATTACGGTTCAGCTAATGTTTTCCAAACAAAGCTGCCTTTTACTGTCGCTGTTTTGCTTATATAATAAAGAGCAAACACAAAGTTCATGTCATTTTCACGACTTTTTCTGGATTTGACTTCTTCTAATCTTTCCCCGTCAAGAGGCTTTTGTTTGTCATTTTGTATCCCTTCCTTCTGCGTTTTGTTGCAACTCCCTTTTATCATCACACGTTTCATTTCACCTGAAGCCTTGACCCTTTGAGCCCTTTGCTTTTTTTATTTCACAAGACTAATATGATCATTTGGAATTCACACGCTCACATTTGACTTTTTTTGTGTGTGTAGAAGAAAAAAAGAGAAGGCGTGTTGCTCACACTGTATCAGCGGCTCTTGCATCAGCCATCTGTTTATGCATGTTCTGCGCATAATGATTCCTCCAGCTTCCCCTCATACGTTTTATTTTCTAGGCAGAATAAAAGCACAAAACAAWTCCCCTTTCCAGGCATGTTTCCCCTGGGAAAGTGGTAAATATGCTTCAACATTGTGTTTATTGTAAAACAAAGCTGTGCTTTCTGTATATTCCACTAAATTACAGGTTGTAATACAAGCRTTTTGCAATATTCCTCTGATTAAAAAGCTGGTTTGTAATCCACGTATTCACAAACGGTCGTGTTTGAGTTTCATCTCTCACATATTMTTGCATAAAAGTACAAGTGAGCATGTGATTGCGCCGTGACTCATGTATCTATATAATTGCATTTGTATCAAACTTAGTGGAACATAACATTCACATCATGCCTTTTACTCCCTAGGACGCCCTGTTCCACACAGCCTGGACACGTGCATAATGTGTCCTTGAATAAGGCTTAAAAAGGATCCTGYCGTCTCATAACTTTGTTCAACTGTATTCCTGTTGTACTTGGCTTGCCTGTATAATATTAAAGATAGATTATTGACTCGGCTTGGTAACAAACGGGCGACCTGTTCAGGGTTGTCTCTGCCTCTCGCCGACTGAGTGCTGAGTTAGGAGGTGAGTATTATCCACGTTTTTATTCCTTTACCTGACATCCTCGTCCTTACAGCAAAACCTCTGCACACAATGATCAAAACCCACATTTAGTWGCTGCAAACTGCATTTCATTTRTAAAATTATGTTTGACAGATTTGTRTAATTYTTCCTCATGATCAGCCCCCTTGGACGGGTTATTGTGAAAAGCACATGTGATAAACTAATAGAGGTTTCAGACGTGACTCAGCTGGTCTCTACAGTTTCAAGGACTGTGCAGAGGTAAGTTATTGTCATAAATTGAACAATTTGTTTATTAGCGAGTAAAAATAATCAGTAACAGAATTTTCTGAAAACTTGTTATTTATTTGCTTTTCACGTCTTTGATTTTTTTTTCCTCCCTCACCTCATGTCCCAGTCTGTGAATTGAACATGCCCCCTGCAGCAGTAACCAATCTTGGCTACACGCCACCGGATGGAGGCTGGGGCTGGGCTGTCGTCTTTGGTGCTTTCATCTCCATAGGATTCTCTTATGCCTTTCCCAAGTCCCTCACCATCTATTTCAAGGAAATTCAGGAATATTTTTCAGTTTCTTACAGCGAGATTGCCTGGGTGTCCTCAGTCATGTTGGCTTCTATGTATGCAGGAGGTCAGTGGCAGCCAGAGGCTACCTTTTCAAAAAAAAATGGACAAAGTCATTTCTGTAAAAAAATAAATAAATAAAAGTCACATTGCCTCTAGCTTACTTTATGACCACTGTGAGTAAGCAAAGCCATTCTGTGATCAAGTTATTTTGTCCTTCAGAACATTATGGAGCGATGACACATTTCTTCCCCATGTGCAGGTCCTGTCAGCAGTATGCTCGTCAATCGTTACGGCAGCAGACCTGTGGTTATGGTTGGTGGGCTCATGGTGAGCATTGCCATGGTACTTGCCTCTTTGGGAACCACCATCATTCATCTGTATCTGTGCGTTGGTGTAATTGGAGGTAGATTACTTTTTTTTGGTTCAAAAATGGTCTTTTTGTTCAATTATGGTTTTAACCCTTCCTGAAAGTGATTAAATAGGACAAATTAATCCATGATTGTTTTGTAATTTGCCTCATAGTAAGTATCATGGCTGACACTGGAGAATACTCACTTCTGTCAGTATAGCTGTGGCTACAATTGCAGTTTGCCATCATCAGAGTGTGAACGTGTGTGCATGGGTGAATGTCTGTAGTGTGAAGCGCTTTGAGTGTCCTGGATGGATAGAAAGGCACTATACTGTAGAAGTACAGTCCATTTACCATTTTACCATTTACTGTCATGATATGTAACTTTCCTCCACAAGCTTTAAAAAATAAATTAGAAGCAGGGCCAGTTTAGTTGGACAGCTTACTCCGTGTTTGCAGTCCGAGGATGTCAATAATTATTCCATCAAATGTGTTCATATTTACTTAAACTGCAGCAGAACTCATCTGATTATTTTGGGTAAACATGTTCCATCTGAAACATTTCATTGATTTCAGTTCAGCCTTATATTTTCAAGGAGTTGCAAATGCATTTGCATTCCAGGATTGATGATAATTTTATTRACAGAAAACCAACTTTTCAGGCTTTAAACCTGATCCTTGATCTGTAGGAAACCTGCATCAGCCAAAACATCCACAGAAACACACCTTACTGATCAGTACCCACAGAGTTTTATTATCGTGAACAAATGTTAGAAATAAAAGGTCAGTACCTTTTTATATTTATTCTCAAAGTTGGTAAACAAATCATGTGTGTGTGTGTGTGTGTGTGTGTGTGTGTGTGTGTGTGTGTGTGTGTG